CCACTCTGTGGCCCAATCCATGAATATTGTCTTCAGTGGGTTTTGGGGTGTAACTGTGTTTCTGTTCCGGCAACACTTTTCAAGGCTGTTTTTGGCTACAAGCTAATCCTCTCTCTGCTGATTTCATATTTGAAAGATGCTTAGTAAGGAACAAAAATGTGTGGTGTAGCTATTGCCATAAAGCCATAGAGTATGGGTGGGACTTTATGGAGCATGGAGGGTTTAAATGTGCTGAGCTACAGTAGCATTCTGGGAGCTAATACACAAAACTGCCAAAGGCCTTCTAGTTTCAACCTGTAACCGACCAATGATGACAATGCATCAGGGCCCGCATACATAATCTATCCTTTGTGTGCTCCTGCAGCAATGGCTGAAAAGCGCACAAGATCGCACACCACGGCGAAAAAGCCCCAAAATCCGGCCAGCAAGCGCTGGAGAAGCTATCACAAGCCAGCTGTCGTGTTCGGTGTGTCTGGAGGAGTACCGGAGACCCAGAGTGCTGCCCTGTCTCCACGTCTTCTGCGAGGCCTGTCTGGAGAAACTGGTGCGGACACAGAGAGACAAACTGAGCGCCCCGTGCCCCAACTGCCGCAAGCCGGCCCCTCTCCCTGAAGGGGGCGTGTCCAGCCTCCCTGCCGCCTTCTACATCCAGCACCTTTTCGAGGTGAGGGAGGTCTTGGAGAAGGTGCGGGACCCGGAGAAGGCGCAGTGCGATAAATGCGGGGAGGGAGAGGTGAAGGGTTTCTGTCGGGACTGCGGCCAGTTCATTTGCCAGCTCTGTCTTACCATGCACGGCAAGTGGAAGGAATTTCAGGAGCACGAAATCGCTAGCCTCGACGAGGTGCAAGAAACGGCGTCGAATATGGTGAAACCCAAAAAGGTGAGCTCCATGTGTTCGAAACACGCAACAGAGCCGACCAAGATCTACTGCGAGACGTGTTACGAGTTGATTTGTCGCGACTGCACCGTCAAGACCCATCGCGACCACAACTACGACCTCATCCCCGATGCCTTCCCGAAGCACAGAGATGTCATCCTTGCTTGCCTACGCCCCGTCAAATCCGAGCTTGCTAGTGTAGAGAGCACCATTGTACAGCTGAAGGCAAGATCTAGCAGGCTAGACGGACAGGGTATAGAGGCAAAGGCAGAGGTGAATGCTGAAGTAGACAAGTTTCAGGCAATCCTAGATGCTCGCAGAAGGGAGCTTCACTCCCAGATAGATGGTAAGGTGTGTCAGGGGAAGAAGGAGCTGGCAGCCCAGATCGACGGACACGAGATGAGGCAGGCCCAGCTGAGCAGCTGTGTGGAGTTTGTGGAGGGGAGTCTGCAGAGTGGCACACAAGAGGAGGTGCTGTCGATGAAGAGACAAGTGGAGGAGAGGGCACGGGAGATGGCAGACGAGTTCAAACCTCAGCAACTGGTGTTGGGTCCGGAGAAGGAGATTAGTGTAGTGTGTGCAGACTTGAGCTCAGCATGGCGAAAACTAGGAGAAGTGAAGTTCGAGAACGTTCAGTTTAAAGGGAGCCATGTCAAGACCATTGGTGGGATCAACAAACCACGTCACATTGCGTTTGCCAAAACTGGTGAAATGGTTGTTTGTGAGCGGGGTTCTAATTGTATGAAGGTGTTTGACAGCAATCACAGAGAGCTGCGATCATTTGGACACACAGGACCAGAGGAAAGCAGACTTGACAGACCGCTAGGAGTAGCCATCTCTTCTGATAACACAGTGTTTGTGGCTGCCTGCCACTGCGTGAAGAAATTCACTCTTGAGGGTCGGTTCATAGCATCAGTGGGTTCAGAGGGAAGTGGACAACTGCAGTTCAACACACCATGGGCCATAGCCTACAACCACACCAACAACAGAGTGTATGTCTGTGACACTAACAACCATCGCATTACAATCCTCAACCATGACTTGACATTCCATAGCAGCTTTGGTAGTAAGGGAAGTGAGGCAGGTCAATTCAACAAGCCTGATGGAATATCTGTCAGTAGAAATGGAAATGTATTAGTAGCTGACTTTAGCAATAACACAGTTCAGATTTTTGATGCCATTGGACAATACCTATCATCCATAACTAACACTGGAGCAGGAGAGAGACTAGGACGACCAATCAGTGTGGCAGTTGGACCTGATGACTGGGTGTATGTGCTTGAATTCAGCTGTGACAGAGTATCAGTATTTGATGAGAATGGCAAGTACATCAAGTCATTTGGGAAGGAAGGGGACAAAGATGGAGAGTTCAGTTGTCCATTTGCCATAGCTGCCAGAGATGTACGCTACCTCTATGTCCAGTGACCATGCAACACGAGTTTCAAATATTCAAGTGAAATACCCTCTCACACAACACCATATTAATACAAAGAAGCTACCCATAGGAAGCAAACTTCACCTTATAATTAACGTAATTAGTTATTTTTATTTACCCTCAGATTATCTCTGCGATGTCATTTATACATTTATACTGCCTGTGTCAGTGTAATATCGCACTAGCTTTTTTGTAAGTCGCACCGAATTTTGTTGAAGCTCTATTGTCATGTTTTTCTTCCTCTACTGTATCCCGTCTGTAAATTGTTTAGATGGTTTTTTTACAACAAGGTTATAAATATATTGGATAACTGCTGTAATCGGCAAAGCGCAAGCGTACCTTCAACGGCAACGGTGGGATCTAGAGTCCATTGGGTTCGGATTGACCCCGCCCCCTGTGTGCACATGGTTGCATAACTACGCGAGATCACCATTCTTTGGTGACTGCACTTTCGTCGTGCACATTGGTGGAGAGCGGCATACTTACATGATATTACGTTAGTGCACTTCTCGCCAAATCATTGTGTTAGCTTATTTTCCGTCAGTATAGCAATTTTATGGCAGCACTGTGTGTGCACATAATTTTCGTATTTCGCAATCTTCTGATCCGACCTTAAATCTCTATCTTGAGCCGCGAGTACTAGTAGAATATCACCTACCAACAATTTTTTAAAGTTAGGCTCACATTCTCCAGAAGTAGTCCCAATGCAGGTGCTCTTAGAATATCAACCGTCCCCTTTTGAAAAGCCTCAACGGGCGTCGTCTCCGGAGACAAACCAACTATCCCTAATACTTTTACAAACGCTATAGTATGGAATGGTAATTTCTTCTATCTCGCTGCACCTATCCCTATCTCGCTCAAATTTTCCTATGTATCCCCCCTAAACAAGGGGTGAACAATTTCGCATTTCTTATAGGCACAAGAGTGGGCAAAAAGACAAACCAACTATCTCTAATACTTTTACAAAGGTTGTAGTATGGAATGGTAATTTCTTCTATTTCGCTGCACCCATCCCTATCCTCGCCCAAAATGAGCAAAACTTCTTGTTGTAGGCATCGAAAAACACCTGTGTAACCCACCAGTACATTTGAATGGATGCGTTGATCATGAACCACTAGAGAGCCTAGCATTTACCTAAGTGCACACCCGAACTCGCTGAAAGTTGTGGTAGGTGGGGACATTATACAGATTGAGGAAAACGGAGTTGGTCTGCATAAAAGATAGAGCCCTTTCCACTTGCAGGTATATACAGTACATATAGCTACATGCATCAACTGACTAGGAATTTAGGAATGTTGAATGTGCGCACAACCTCTCCTGACAGAGTGGCATGATTGTAAGGACAGTATTCATAGTGTGTGCCTCCCACTCTGTGGACCCAATCCATGAATATTGTTTTCTGTGGATTTTTGGGGTGTAACTGTGTTTCTGCTTCCAGCAAGCACTTTTCAAGGGCTGTTTTGGGCTACAAGCTAATCCTCTCTCTGCTGATTTCATATTTGAAAGATTCTTAGTTAAGGAAACATAAATGTGTGTATGCCCAATACTAAACTACTTTACTTCATTAAACACTAGTCGAAAGTTGCATTCACTGTCCTCTAGCTAGCCAAAGACATAAAATAGGTCATCCTAAACCGACCAAATCCGGGCACTATCTCTCATCTTCTTTCTCTGCTCCACGTGCCTTAGCATCGAGAGGCTCTTTCCCGCATTCTCTGTGTCCGGGGGCGACGTCCATCGCGGCGCTAGAGTCTCCTACTGTAGCCATGATGATTATATCAGCTCCGCTTCAACTGGCACCGAAAGTGTAGCACCGCACGCGGAAGAATTTCCAAATAACGCCCACCAGCTGCAGCACTCTTCGATTCACGCATGCGCACGGAAGCTAAGCACGCAGTCAGTCGTTGTATACACTTTATACACGTGTGATCCTGGATAGGTTATGGGTGAACTTGGGGATCATGATGCTTGATAATTGTGTCGTTGAATCGTCATTGACAACCAATAAAGATACAGATTTTAGCAAAAGACATTTTAATTACACCATTTTCACACTTACATATACAGTGAAAAATCCAGCATCAAAATGCACACATATACACTTGAAACATAGTCAATGAGTAAGAGGCGTGTTTTCGCTATTGACGATACTGTCGTAGCCGTGGTGACTTCCCGATGATCTGCGACGAACGACAATGTCGATCTTCATTTGTTTGAAATCGGGGTGAAAGGTGAGGAAGTATACCAGAAATGTCGTACTCATCGCCCATTCACACGCTGAGCTGAGGACGTGATATGCGAAACCCTGACAAAAAAATGAAGAAAGAGAGTTCAGCGAGAATCAGACGCGAAACAATAAATTGACTGAACTTATGATGTCATAACTATTGCGCAAATATGCACCGGCTGGGAGGGTGTGTGTGTATGTGTGTGTGTATTATATATATGGCATGTATAGAGACTGTGTGTGGGTCGAATAAGTAAAATTTCCTGATTTTCCATGATTCTGAATGTGGTAACCAAATGAAAAACGGCACACACCTTGCAATACAACTAGTTCCTATATAAACTAACCCCATCACGAGTTGACCAATGAAATGTTCCGTGGCCGATATGACGACGACGACTACTACTAGCCAGACCCGCAAACAGAGTAGCTGAGAGCGATGGGAGGGGAAGAAGTGGGGGGAGGAGGAAAAAAAGTTGCACGAGGTAAGGGTACGATTGGTCTGTGGAACATGTTTTGCAGACAAGATGGACGATACAATACTGCTGAATATACATACTAAGAAAGGGTTACTGCGTGCAGAGCATAGTTAGTTCAAGTTTGCTTTCGTCTTGTGTTGCAGATTTGAACACCATTATGTCTGCTGAGCTGCCCCGGTAGACCTCACAGTGGCTAGAGCATTCTGCCTTAGACTACAGAGTGTCGTGGGTTCGATTCCCACCTCGGGGGCAAATCATCATCTCGAATGTATTATCACTGTTTGCTTTTCCATTGCCTTGCTACCACATGTACTCACCTATAACACCCACACACTGATAGTTTTCATTTCACACGGCAACGAGGGAAATACAAATGCCTAACTTTCACGTAACAACACGGTAAATCCATTTTTCATTTCACGTAACAACACGGTAAATCCATTTTTCATTTCACGTAACAACAAGGGAAATACATTTTTCATTTCACGAAACAACACGGTAAATCCATTTTTCATTTCACGTAACAACACGGTAAATCCACATTTCATTTCACGTAACAACACGGTAAATCCATTTTTCATTTCACGTAAACAACACGGTAAATACATTTTTCATTTCACGAAACAACAAGGGAGTTTCTGTACACATACACACAGTGGATAAGGTAGTAAGTCTTATAGTGAAAATCTCAGATAACCTGTGTCATCCCTACGTATATGTACTACCGTACTTAGTGATGTATATACCTCCAACAAAGAAGACGAGTGATAGAAGACTGATAATCGCCTGGGCAACGACCCAGCCGACCCCGACATGCCCGGCCACTCCGGAGCGGTACACTCGGTACGTGATGTAAGTGTGGACCCACTGGTAGACCAGTCCGGCTGAGAACACTACAAACGCTCCGAGGAGATGAACCGCTGGCACATAGTCATCCTGTTGTGTGATAAAACCAGAATGGCATTTTTGGCGAGCTAACGGGAACAGTTCAGTTCAATCTTCTCCACACATATTTGGAAGTTTGGTGAGCGAATGCGAGCAGTCCAATTTTGTATTTTTGAACGAAGTTCAACTTTTCGTGTGTCAAAATCATGTACAACATTACGGTACGTGCAGTGGCAGTATAGGTGAAAACTTAGTGAAACCGCTTGCCTTTAGACGACTAGGTGGGCTCGATTCGCTCGCCAATAAGGGACACTTCTTTTACTGGCCTATTCTAAACAAATTACTGTACAGTGCAAATCCTCTGAATAAGGGAAAACCTTGGGGACATTGAAGCCATATATTCAGAGGTGTCCTTTATCCAGATTCATTTCATTTCATTACGGTACAGACAGCACTACAAATACACGCTCAGCAAAACCAGCACAATTCAGACAACTACAGGCCGGTGCACTCGCTTCACTTATTGCTGGTAAAGACTGCTTACCTGAAAGTTTGCCACAAGCAGAAACCCGAATGAAGTTGCCAGTCCGACGATTAACCCAATGAAATTGAAGACTTTCAACGGCAGACAAAACGTGGAGACTTGCGTGGCGTAGAATGTATGGACCGACTTGTAGCGCAAGTATACTATTAGGAGTTCTGTGTGGAGGGAGGGAGGGAGGGAGGGAGGGAGGATGTAGCGAGGGAGGAAAGTAAAAAGAAAGAAGAAAAGAGAAGGTAAGATAATATGACAGAGCAGTCAAATAAAGGGCTGATAAAGGGTCAAAAGGATGAGGGTTTGGTTGAAATAGCATATAGGAACACCTTGGGGACATTGAAAGTGTCCTTTATTCAGAGGTGTCCTTTATTCGGATGCAGTTATATACACAAATGTATTAGTATGGGGCAGAACCAAGTGTCCTTTATAGAGAGGTGTCCTTTATTCAGAGGTGTCACTGTATGTGAATGTTGATAGCGTACGAAAAAGGACGGCAGTGTTGCAGATGAAAGAAAACACACAGCTTTCAGGTGGTTTTCCGCCAGTATCACTGGAAGAGGGGAGAGAGGAGAGAGAGAGGAGAGAGGGAAGGAAGAGAGGGAGAGAGTAGAGACGGGAGGAAGAGAGGGAGAAGAGCGAGAGAAGAGATGGCCGGAAGCATAGGGATAGAAGGCGACTGAGCGATCGAGAGAGTAGACAGAAGGCATACGGACGAGATGTGCAGCGAGGGGAGGAGAGACTGAGGAGATAGAGGCAGCGCAGACGAAGGAGGCTCGGGACGGAAAGACGACGGGAGTGCCGGAATAGACCATGGTCGCACTCAGTGGAGCCGGTGGGCCCAGGCGATGAATTAATCCCTAAATGTGCAAGGGTAAACTGTGGATCCAAGTGACCCGACCATAAGCAGCAATCAGCACTGATAAGTACTTTGCAAGAAGCCCTAATTGTACTGGAGCACCAACAATCTATATACCACTTAAAACAATTTGGGAATGTACAACCACCCAATGGTGTCCCATAACTTGAGCCCTGACACTATTGTACACACAACTACAGCAAACATATAGTCCAAAGTCAAACTACCTGATGTAGCCAGTAGAGTCACGTGATTGAGCACTGAAAGCAATACCTGTGTGGAAAGAATCAATGTTATGATATCCACACACATGCTATTACTAAACATAGCTAATACACAATGTTGTAGCTATGCTAATGCAGCACAAAACAAAAAGCCATCCAATAGCAACAGATCGTATTGCCACACAACATACCCGCACAGGTGCACGGCAAAGAGAAAAGAGCGGTGTGTAAACTATACACTCGCCTGGGAAACTAGCTAGTTTTCGAAGGTACATAGCTACTTGACATAGCTACTCACGTCAGCAAGAAGCCGAGAACTGTCAGGCTGGCGAAGATTATGAGTAGCAATTCCACCCCAAACCGACCCATTTCCTTCACTATTTTCTACCAGAGATCGACGCTGGGCGGGCGCAGGACGCGTCGCCGACGTACGTGACTAGGGGTGGAAACTGAAAAGCTCTTGTTTTTCCTGCTTGTTTAGCGCACGAGACTGGCGGGGATTCCCCGGAATGCGAGTGCATGCAAAAAGGGGCGTAGCTGGTTGAGCTGGTGTGTCGTGCAGGGGATGCAGTAGTTAGACGATTATGGAGGAAGTCGGTAAGAAAACTAACGCAGGTCACACGCATACTCTTTCGGTCCTTAGACGTAGTACGTAGCTGCGGATACTAATATTCCGAGCCTCATAATGAAGAACACCTCTCTACAAAGGAAACCTGATTCTTCCTTGTAATTCTTAATGTCACAAGGTGTCCGTTTAATGTATCCCCAGACCCACGTGTGTGCTTTATGTCATCACGACTTTATATACCATGAGCTACAACATATTATCCCTTCTAACTCAATCGTAATGTCGTTTCTCTAGGTTTCAAGGCTGGGGAGGAGGTGGCGTTTGGCAGTGGAGTAGAGAGACTCATGTTTCCAGTCCACACGTCACCCACGAGACTTGGAATAGAACAGGGACTTCGTGGAGAGCCTCACAGAGGACCTGGCTGCTATACTGGTGACCTGGTATGCTGGTGTACTTAGGATTCACTTTTATAAGAGAGTAATGCAAAGAAACACTGCAATCAGGGAGAAAAACAGAGCTTTTGACATAGAAGATTTGCTATTGGTTAGAAAGCTTGCTATTAGAAAGACTTAGTAAAGGATCATAAACGGTGTGAATATCCAGTCTTAGTTGGAGTTCATCAAACATACATTTACATAATGAGCACTTGACCACTTCGAGAATGAGTTTTTAAATGCACTGGTGCAACTTGGAGAATGAATAAAAAAGGACTTGCACTTCGAAAGAAAAAAAGTAAAAAAAAACCACTCCACTGGACAAGTTGGCCAACATGCCCAGTGAAGCGGGGGCACTCAGTATTGTCAAACAGAGAGTGGGTAAGGGAGGACCAGAGCTGTTCCCAGCCAGTGCTCTGGACCACCTACCAGCTTCCAGCCCGGGATCGATCTCTCGACCACCGGAACCTTTATACTGGTAGTCCCCACTTCTACTGATTGCGCCACATGAGTGACCCGAGAGCAGTAGTTGAAATTTTGCCTTTATACCCACCAGTCAGTGAGGTTGAAAAAAGAAAAAGTAGTAGTTGACAGGCCTGAACCCAGGTAGCAGGAAAAACGTGTTCCACTTGCAAGAGCTTTAGCCACTAGACCATCAACTCATGGGAATGTGATATGTAGCATCCCTACCAGGCTTTTTTGCTGTCTCCCATAAAAGGGTGTCAACAATTTCGCATTTTTTATAGGCACAAGAGTGGGCGAAGAGACAAACCAACTTTCCCTAATACTTTGACTACATTTGGTGTATGGAATGGTACTGTCTTCTTACTGTTGCACCTATCCCTACCTCGACCAAATTTTGCTGTCCCCCCTAAATATACAAAGACAGTGCAATTCAACTATCAGCCGCATGGATTCTAAAGACACCTACGTTATATCCTAGTGTCTTCATATGTAATGGTCCTAGTGTGGGCCTTACTATATAGGAGGCTCCACACAGCTGGTTATCATCATGATCCAGGCTTTTCCCAATGTCTGCTCTTATTGTGCAACAATACTATAAATTATTGCAATGTCGTTTCCCAGTTGAGTGAGTTTCTGAAGCCACTGGACTCGGTCCCACGCAGCAGACGTGGCTGGTACTTTGGAGCTCAGCTCACCGGTCGACCGTCTCTGGTCCGCAACAATGCCGTACCGGGCCCGCCAGACTACCAGACCGTACCGGTCTGTCACGGTGGTGGTCACAACAAGGCAGCGTTCAACTGCGTAAATCCACGATGGACCGAGAGAGATGGGGACTTCAGAGATCCAGGGTTAGAAACACTGCATTGAATGTGTAGCGTTAGACACCACATTATTTGTTGACTGTGTGGCATCCATACTTAAGATATTTTGTCTCTAACTCATAACGTACAATATAACTTCATGTATAGTATGCACGTGGAGATTTTTATGACTCAGTCAGAGTAGGGAAAGGGTGTAAGTCACGTGCAAGTCTGGTAACGCAACAAATGCTTCACGTATTTTATCAAAACTGCACTAAAGTTTTATGCTTGATGTTTATCATGTGTGTTCCTTTATAATAATACCTATCAAAATTTTTTGTGAATTCAGGGACAACTGTATATACTACAGCTTTTAGTTTATTAATAAAAAAAAAACTTTCACCTCCCAATGATGAGTTATATTGATGTGCACTAAGCCCATTCAGAAGCAAGTGAAAATTTTTTCAGTCCCACTGGTGTCTGGATTAGAAGGTTCCACTCATGTATAGCCTACTCTACTATGCAGGCCGGGGGACATACTGACACACAGTGTGACACAGGACGTCAGGTGGAAATGGACGAAGCTTTCGGCTACAGCAGAAAGATTCGCACGCGTCGTGATGAAGTGCACTAATGGGATCCCAGAAGAGGTATTTCATGGCTAGTTTAGTGTCCCAGCTTGGATATAAACCACCAACTATAGGGGCTGCATAGTTTATTCAAGATTATAGAAATACCCGCCAATATCCATGGTGCCAATGCAGGTGCAGTGAAGTCGTTAAAGTGAATCCTTCATAATTATTGTGAAGTAAAGCAATGGTCTACACAAGATGGATGTGTGTGCATGACTATCCCCTACACCAATATAAATGCCGCAAGGTCACTGAGTACGGTAGACTAGATGGTATATAGTGAATAGCGTAGCAAGCAAGGGGTGATGCATTCTGCACTATTGCAGTGTAGCTATCAGCAAGAGACAGTTTTTAATGATGCATTCGCAAGCAGGAGATAGTAATCAATGATGTATTGTGTCTATTACTATCGCAGTGCAGTCATTGCAAGCAAGAGACGGTTGGAGACTATTTCCAGAGAGGAAACAAGATCCTCTGCAGCAAATGTCACCAAGATCAAAGGACAAACAGAACTTCTAGCAAAAAGTAACAATAATCTGTATGGTTAATGACGGAGAAGAGTTATAAAAAAGTGAGTAGGGTAGCCATGTTTGCTTACACGAATGTCACTATAGTAGTATTAGCTACACATGTTCACACAGTAATAAAGTTTATTATGGTGTGTGTTGGTAGTGTGCATCAGTAAGTGCAGATTTAAAATCTTGTGGCTGTATTATTAACTCAGGGAGGCTAGGTATGAGAAGGTAAGAGATTGCACTGGAGTTCACCATCATAAGTTCCAGGAAAAGACCAAGATCATGGTACAATACACATTACACGATACAATATCGTTTGTCACCTCTGTGTAAGCTCATTTCGCGGTTCTACAAAGCTTAATTGTAAATGCCCGTCTCTCTTTGTCCCTCCACACAAACATACAAACCATACAAACACACACACACAACACCAGCTGAAGAGTGAGAGTGAACTAAAGAAACAGAGCAGAAAAGAGGCATATTTCAGGCTCTATTTCTCTGATTAAAACATCTAGTTACAACTTAGGCATAACTTTTTATTTAAATATTTGATACAATTTAATATTCGATATGTCACACATCATTACTAGATCTCAGAAACGTTTGTGTTTTTTTTGTCCAGTTTTCTCTTTCCCTACTGGGGGTTCAGCCCTTTAATTAGCAGTTCTTCTTTCTGAACGTTGTGCACTAACAGTCTCTGCTTTGGCTGTAGAAATCGTGAATCTGAAGAGATCCAAGCCACTGCATCATTCTAGGTTATTTTTTGTGTTAAGGAGATCTCTGTGTTCTAGAGACTGGCTCTACCAACTGAGCTACTGAGGCAGCTCAGTTGGCTGGGCTGAATCACTCATACAGAACAAGGCAGAGCACTCTGTGGTACTAGAGAGGCTCTACCAACTGAGCTATGAGGCAGATCAGCTGGCTGGGCCGAACATCATACAGATCGGCAACAGAGCACTTGTGTTCTAGAGAGGCTCTACAAGTAGTCAGCAGTGTGTAAAAAAGGATACGACATATCATTGATCTCGTGTCATGATATTCTCGTATTGAAGTCTCTGAATTCATCAACTCTCTCAGTGATTCCTTCCAGTCCAGTGCCTCGTGATCCGTCAGAGCCAAACTTCTTGTTGTAGCATCGCAAAAACACCTGGTACCACCAGTACATTTTGAATGGATGCGAGTGATCATGAACCAGAGTGAGACTAGCATTTACCTAAGAGTGCAACCGAACTCCGCTGAAAGTTGGGGAGGTAGGATGACATTATACATTATACAGAGTGAGGAAAGTGCGTTGGTCTGGAATATATACAAGCTAGAGCCCTTATCCACTTGCAGCGATATACAGTACTTGATGACATACATATAGCTACATGCCTCAATGGAGTAGGAATGTTTGAATGTGCACACAACTCCCAACCTCTGACAGAGTGGCGTGATCTGGAAAAGACAGTATCATGATAGTGCGTGCCACCCACACTGTGGACTGCCAATCCATGAATATTGTCCTTCAGTGGGTTTTTGGGGTGACTAAACACTTTTCAAGGCGATTGTTTTGGCTACAAGCTGATCCTCTCTCTGCTCTGCTGATTTCACATTGAGCACAGATTCTTAGGTAAGGCAACACAAAATGTGTCGTGTAGCTATTGCATGAACGCCTAAAGTAGTATGGGTGGGACTTTAGGAGCGTGAGGGTTCTTGAACTGGTGCCCAGTGTAGTACCGTACGCATGCTGGAGGATTGACTCCACAAAACTGCCAAAGGCTACTCGTTTTCAACCTTGTAGTACAGACCGATGATGACACATGTATCGGGCCCGGCATACATAATCTAATCTTTGTGTGACTCTGCAGCAAGGCTGAAAA